CTTGTCATTTACAAGACATGTGGTCTCTCTCAGGAGTAATGACATTTGATGTTTGCAGTTTTCTATGGCAGAGGTGTAGATGTAACCAACCGTCTTATTAAATAAGAAACACAGAACCAATGTAAAAGAGAAAGCCGAGAGGTCAGAGCTCAGAGCTAAAATCTCACCCTTCCTCCTGCGGCGTCCCAGTTTCCCGAAAGAGAGCTATTTCCCTGTGTGTAAGTCGTTTCATAGTCCTTCTGCCTTCTCATTAGTTGTAAACCCAAACACGTGACTGCCTCATCACTGTCTGTATGTACAGCCCCCCAGGCCTTAAAGGCATATGTCTCCAATGCTGGCTGTATCCCTAAACACACAGAGATCTATGGGATTAAAAGGCGTGCACCACCACCGCCACACTCTGTCTATGGCTCTAATAGCTCTGACCCCCAGGCAACTTTATTTATTAACACACACTCAAAATCACATTTCAGTACAATTAGAATACCACCACACATTGCTTTAGTTTTGTTTTTTTGTTTTGTTTTGTTTTGTTTTGCAGTTGAAGCTGCCCAGTCTGTCGTACTTTGTAATGGCACCCTTCAAAAACTAACATGAGGTACAAGAACCCAGGTGTCCATGGACAGATAAATGGATACCCCAAACATGGATGAACTTCCAAAGAACGTGCCTCAAAATTCAAGGGGAAGATCCTGACTGACATAGGCCATCACACAGTGACATTAACTAGTCCCAGAAGGCTGAATCCTGTGTAATTCCACTGAGTAAGGGGGTAGAAAAGCCATAAAGACAGGAGGCAAACCAGAGTTTCCCCAGGACTGGCTGGGGAAGGGAGGGAGTTGATTCATGGGTTCAGAATTTCAGTTCTGTGTGATGACAAGAGACGTAGATATGAAGGATAATCCACAAAGAGAATGAACTTAGTATTGCAGAACTGTATACTTAAAAGTGCTTGAGATGGCATATTTTTTATATCAAATATATTTTACAATGACTTTTTAAAGAATTCTATGTAAAAGGAGGTGGACATGTCCATTTCTTTCTTTAGTGACAGGGTCTCATGTTGTTGTGGAATATTATTTGAAGATGTGTTACATCTGTTTGTGCTGTGGGACACTCGTGAAATGATGCAAAGATGTGTTGCATTCTTCTTTGTTGCATTTGTTTAACTCTGTGAAGCTGTGTTACTTTGCCTGTCTAAAACATCTGATTGATCTAATAAAGAGCTGAGCAGCCAACAGGAAGGCAGGAGAAAGGATAGGCGGGGCTGGCAGGCAGAAAGGAAAAAATAGAAATGTGGAAGAAGGAGCAAGAGAACAAGGAGAGGAGGATGCCAGCGACCAGCTACCCAGCCAGCCACAGAGTAAGAGTGAAAGTAAGATATATAGAAATAAGAAAAGGAAAAAGCCTAGATGCAAAAGATAGATGGGATAATTTAATTAAGAAAAGCTGTCAAGAAACAAGCCAAGCTAAGGTCAGGCATTTATAATTAAGAATAAGCCTCTATCTGAGATTTATTTGGGAGCTGGGTAGTGGGCCCCCAAAAGGCCAAAGACAAAAGAGCAAGAGTAGAAAAAATAACCAACAACACATGTAGCTCAGGCTGGCCTAGAACTCTGTCACCTTGGATAATCTTCGATTTCTGATCCTCATGACTCTACATCCTGAGTTGTGGGACTGTGGGAATGCATTACCCTGCCTGGTTTTGTACAGTGGAGGGACAGAACCCAGGGCTTCCTGCACGCTAGGCAAGCGTTCTAACAGCGTTCTCAGCCTTTTGTTAATGTGGTGCCAGCAGCCTGGCTCAAGTGACTATGTGTTCATGTGTAATTCGCAAAGCGAAAGATGGCTTTCAGGACCCCACGGAACCACAGGGATTGTCCACTATGCTTTGTATCCTGCCTGACTGTGGGCAAGTATCCTGGCTATTCCAAACTTTGATTTTTCATCTGTAAAAAGAGAGGAAAAACAAAACAGTAATTTCACTATTAGGATAAAAATTTGTACTGTATCAAGCTGATAATAGAAAAAAATAAAAAAAATAACAGTAGTGAGTTATGGCCACTGCTGGGAGGGCTGCTCCCAGGTAAACTGAGGAAAGGTGAGAAAAGCTCTCTGTGGAAGTGCCAGTAAGTGGCCATCACTGCAGGACTGGTCAGGTTGGAATGCCCCCAAACACCAGCTGCTGGGAAGAGGTCTGGCCATGTGGACAGGCCCCGTGATGGACCAGTCGTGACTCATCATTCTGCCTCCCAGGGTTTCACTTCTGCACCTGTCTACCTCACTCCCCTTTGAGTGACTTTGAACTCCCCTTCTGACTTGAATGGAGAGAAGATCAAGCATCCACTGAGGATGGAGGTGCAGAACCCGGCACAATGGGCACCTAGACTTGGGTCTGGAGCTGAACCAAAGGACTCCAGTTACATGAGCAGCAAGGGACATCAATACACAGGGGTACATCAGACTCAGAAGCTTCTGGACCCTATCTAGGAGAGAGATTGAATGAAATAACCTGGAAATGGTACGGAGTGTCAAG